TCTGGGATGGAACATGAATCCCCCAGCACTTCCACCTACCCTGGGAGTGGAAAACTGTAGTCAAGCAGCAGAAGAATGCCCTTAGGCAAAAACTGCAGATGCTGGCGGCTGAAAGTGGTACTGGGAACCTTGAAATGGCAAAAGTGATGGATACAGGTAAGTTGCCAACAGTGTCTTCTACAAACACCTTCAACATTTTACCGCATTAACAAGTAACATTTGCAGTTCTCATCGGATAACAGCAGCGGCAAGTCCAGTCTTTCTAGACACTTCCTAAAATCATGCATAAGTCAATAAAGAGCAAAAGAAGGGAAAAAATACACATAATTGTTGGGCGTGGTGGCTCACGCCTGTAATACCAGGCCAAGGTGGGTGGATTGCTTGAGTCCAGGAGTTCAAGACTGTCTGGGCAACATAGTGAGACTGTGTCTCTACTAAAAATTTTAAAAATTCGCTGGGTGTGGGGGTGCATGCCTGCAGTCCCAGCTACTCGGGGGTGCTGAGGTGGGAGGATCTCTTAAGCCTGGGAAGTTGAGGCTGCAGTGAGTCAAGATTGCACCACTGAACTCCAGCCCGGGCGACAGAGCAAGACACTGTCTCAAAACAAACAAATAAAACACACATAATCCATGCTTACAGCATAATCAGGAGACAGAAAAACACTACAAACTATGATGGTCAAGTGTTGCCAGCTCACCATTAACACCAGGGAGCTCAGTTCTCTGGTAGCATTCCCTACTGTGAGCCCTGGCCTACAAAGGACAGCCACCTCTCAGTGAGTCTAGTAACTGCCATACTACAGCACGCCAGGTTTACCAACACTGCACTTAGCATTAACAAATAAGAATCCTGGTACTCAGAAATACATAGAATGGACTAAGTTAAGGAAAAAGGGAGAGTGGACAAATACAAGAGAGAGAAGGAGTAGGAAGAGGAAAAAAAAGAGGAGAAAAAGGGAGACAAGAAAAAAGGGGCCGGGCGCAATAGGTCACGCCTGTAATCCCAGCACTTTGGGAGGCTGAGGGGGGCGGATCACTTGAGGTCAGGAGTTTGAGACCAGCCTGACCAACATGGTGAAACCCCGTTTCTACTAAAAATACAAAAATTAGCTGGGTGTGGTGGTGGGAGCCTGTAATCCCAGCTACTGGGGAGGCTGAGGCAGAAGAATTGCTTGAACCCAGGAAGCAGAGGTGGCAGTGAGCCAAGATCGCACCACTGCACTCCAGCCTAGGTGACAGAGCAAGACTGTCTCAAAA